TTTTTTTTTTATGACATAATTTGCCGTTTGGCTTGTTTTGTGCATTAAAGTTTTTTTTGATTTTGTCGTTTATTTGCTATTTTTTTTTGTTTTAAACAGCCTTATTTAAAAAAATAGGGACTTGGAAAGCGGTTTAAAAATTGGTTAAAAATAATAAAAACAATTAATTTTTTTGTGACATAATTTGCCGTTTGGCTTGTTTTTTGCACTAAAACTGTTTTTGATTTTGTCGTTTGATTGTGATAAGAAAGCTTCTTAATTTTTTGAATTTTAACCATGGTGATTATTGTTTGTTTAAATTTCAAAGTGGTACACAAAGAAACCGGGTTTGATTTTCGATTATATTATTATCCTTTTCTTCTAAAAATTATGTAACATTGAAAAAACAAAAAAAATCTCAAAATCTTTTATTATTATTTTTTATATATATTTTTTTCTCTCATCTTAGAACGGCAAAAAACGACAAACTTTGACATAAAGCCTAGTCGTTTGTTTTTGAGTTTGGAGGGGTGCTTCGCTAACTTTATATAAAGTTAGCAAAACACCTTATATCTAAAAAATACCAGAACGACACAATTATTTTTTCCACAACTAATTAACGGCAAAAAACGAAAAATTCATGGGTATATGCGACATTTTTTGCTTGATGTTGTTTCGCTAACTTTATACACATTTGTTAAGGACGTATCGTCTATTATGACGGTGATTCATTTAGGTCACCTCCGCGACCAGTAGCTATAGATGCTTTCCTTTCACACCAGACAATGCTACTCGTATTTCGCTAAACAGTGCACGGTGGTCGGAAAAGGCATGTTTTAAGCGAAGAAGGCCTATTTTTAAACTGTGATAAATTAATTGGAGTAAAGCCATTCTTATTCAGAAATGTCCAGCGAACTCAAAGCTGGGTAGTATTTTTACTAATATGTGCTGAGCAAGCCGTTGAATCCATTTAAGTCAACGAATTCGATCGTGGCCTGTTCTAACAAATATGAGTTGATGGCTTTCTTAAAATTTGTTTTTATGGAGTAGGATCTTCATTCCTTTACCAAAAGTAATGCAAGGGGTACTTTAAGGATGTATGAAAAGAATAGCCGCGCATACTCGCGCTAAAAAGAGTGGCGGTCATTTTTATTTTACACGCGGTTTATTTTTCAAGAAATATTTTCTTCAAAATGGTATAACTAATGAGTAGAGCAGAGTAAGATCTTCATTCCTTTACCAAAAAATAATGCAAGGGGTCCGTTAAAGATCTACGGAAAGAAAAGCCGCCAAAAAGAGTGAGGCCACTTTTATTACACTAGACCAACTTAAGCAGTTGTTCCAAATAACATAAAGTATATAAAACACTGCGGATTAATGAAATTTTTCTATATTTAGCATCATATTATTTGTAATATGTCTCTTGTCAAAATATTACTAAATTTTCATAACAGTTTCATGGTATTGCCTTTGGTATTCCTTTGCCAGTAGGTCATTTTTCTGAGGAAGCCCAGGAGGCTCTCAACAAAGACTTCAGATGGTATCGCATAACACTCGAAGCATAACACTCGAAAAATGACCAGGAAGGAATCTAACGAAGATTTATTTCACATGTTAATTATAACTTCTGATCCTGTTATATCCAGTATGAGACGACTCCCTCTTCGAAAACCAGATGCCATTTTCGAAGAAGTTGTCAGTCTTTTGCGTGAACCAATGAACCAACTCAAAAAGCATTAGTTTTTGTTAAAAGTGACAGAGATGAGTGAAAAAATATTTCGTCATTTCTATTTCTATTTGTTGTCTGTAATATTAGTTAATACATGGTAGTTGGTAAACGTTTGAACATACGTGAACTGGTGATAGTTGGGGCCATCGGCTATGTGTTCCGCCCATAAATTTCAACTAGGCCCCCAAGGTTATATATATATATATTTTTTAGTTTCTCATTTATTAAAATTCAAACCTGAATAACGTTATTTAAAAATGAGAAATCTTTAGTTTTGGAAATCACTAATTTGGTATAAAATAAAATAAAAATCTTAAAAAATTGTTTGGGCCGAACATATAGCAGGCGGCCCCAACTCTCCCATTCGACAGCAGTCAAATCTCAAGGTTTTAATTTCATGTAAAATTCGTGACTAGTGTGTCTAAAACCCTTACCAGTAGCATTTAAAAAACATTTTCTTATTATCAGAAAACTTAACAGTCCATTTTACAGCCGTCAACTCTCAACGCTTTAATTTGACGTAAAATTCGCGATGAGCAAGTTTAAAAACTTTATCAGTAACGTTTTTAAAACGATTCTCTGATTTTTATAAAAATTGGCAGTCCGTTTGACAGCTGTCGACTGTCAAACTTTTAATTGGACATAAAATTCGTGACTAGCATGCCTAGCAACTTAATAAGTAGTATTTTCAAAAAGATATTCTTATTTTTAGAGAAATTAGCAGTTGATCCAGAAATTTCTTTATACGAAAACACAATTGTTCTTTTTGTATTACTAAAATACAGGTATTTAGTTTAAATTTAGACTTCAAAGCGATATCTGGTTGATCTCTGAATATTGGATATTAAAAAAAAGTAATAATATTCATTAAATTCGAAATTTAAATATATTTACTACGACTATTTATAAAAAATGCCACGAGTATCTGCGCGATCACAAGAACAACGACGTCGTCAAGCTGTCATTCGGGGCCGCCAGCACTATGAACGAAATTTATCGGCAAATAGGACAATAAGCGCCAGCTTTATGACTAACCTTCGGTTTTCAAATACCCTGTTTCGTCAAATAGAAAGGGAAAATGTTGCAGCATTGCACAGAGTAAGAAGGCGTCTACCAATGCGTAGAGTTATGGAACGAAACAAGAACACCATGGCGCACACTGTCGCGCAATTAAGGGAAACTGAACGGGTTCGGGATGCGGAGAAAACCATGGCGCACCGGTCAAGAAGGACTGTCCCGCAATTAAGGGAAACGGAACGGGTTCGCGACGCGGAGGCAAGTGCACTACGAAGGCAAAATCTGGAGTTGAGAACAGATGAGCACGCCCAGAACACCATTGGATATAGGACCAGAAGAACTGTCCGCATTTTCAAGGGAAACTGAACGTATTCGTGGCAGACTTGCGAGAACTGAAAGACGCTTAAACCCTATTACAAGATGCCGGGAGCCACTAAGAAATACTTCCCAAAGGAGAATTACTCGAAAGCAAAGTTTGAGACGAGAGGAAACTCTTACGCAAAACGCAGTTGAACAAGGCCAGCTTCACAGATGTAATCCCGTAAATGGAAGAAGAGAAAACGAGAGGCAGCGTTTGAGGATTGCAACGAACCGAGAAAATCTGTATCCAGAAGCACTAAAAGAAACTCGTAATATTCAGCACCAATAACGGTACTTGGCTCAATATGCGCAATATGAAGCCAAAATAAAAGAAGGGTCAACTATGGTGTGCATGTGTTGTGGTGGAACTTGGTTTCCCCACCGAACCAAAAAATTGAAAATGTGTAACATTACAACAATGCACCCATATCTTTACGTCAACACAATATTTTACTTGGAGAAAAAATTTCCGAGCTTATCGGAAAAGTTCACATTTTATCTGACATGCTACCGTCAAACAATGTCGGGAAAAATTCCATGGATATGTCTTGCGAATGGACTGCAGTTTTTAGACTTACCAGATGCCTTGAAAAATTTAACATGCCTGGAAGAACGCCTCATATCTCCAAGGATTCCATTCATGAGAATCGTATCTCTTGGATACAAATGCCACTGTGCTATTAGAGGAGCAGTTGTAAATGTGCCGATATCAGTAGTCGAGATCCAAGTCGTTGTCCAAGTTCTTCTGAAACGTCGCTTGGA